TCTATGCTAATCATTGGGCTGAGTGTGAACTGAATTTTCCTCCTGCTATGAGCAACCAAAGTCTTTGTTCTGAGAATGATCACATAATTACACAGAAGATTAAAGAATTCCCATGAATAATTTTTGCTCATTTCTCCCTGTTAAACCCATTTAACCCAGTTGAGCATGCCTTGCTGACTTGCTTCAGAGACTCAAATTTTCATTACAAAAGTAGAATATTCACCCTCCCCTGTTGCTGATAACTTTTTCTGGCTTATCTTGTTGCCTAAACATTTCCCTGAACAATCTGGCATTGTTCATAAATAAATTAAAAAGTAAAATTTAACTCCTTTTATGATGACATGGTGAAAGAAAAGGTAAATTTTAAAAAACTCCTTGAGTTATCGGAATGGAAAATTCCTTCCAGTAGTTGTTGGGTATTTTAGCTTGTGGTCCATGGAGGGCCAGAGGACTGAAAGAAATTCATTGTCACATCACAAGCTACTCTAGTTTACCTCCTACCCCCAATTTTCACCACCTGAACAATAAGTCAAGTTTTATGTTCCTGTATCTAGGCTGAACGCTATATTGCTTTTTGACTGTATTAAGATTAGGGAAAAAAAAATTGGTTTTATAATACAACAGTAAATATGCTGTAAATTCCTGGTGTGTTTAAGGTTGTGTTCTGATCTATTCCCCTGTCTCCCTTTGAGATGCACCTTGACTATTGTAATAAAAATAAAATGCAAGGCCACCAAAACTAATATGCTCTACAGTTAATCAAATCTTAGTTGTCCCATACAACTATCGTGTAGAAAAGTGCACCTCTTCTTTGTAAGGCTTTTTTTTTTTTTTTTTTTGAGCATGAAATATATCCCTAAGAATGATTATAGCTGCAGATGATAAATTAAAATCCAGATATGAATATTAACTTGCCTGACATTTGTGAAGGTCTGTGGATGGCTGCTGCAGGAGCATGCACATTATGGCCACCCTTCTGGTCAGCTGCATCCCTGCTTTCAAATAAAAAGGGTCTACAATAAAAAGGGATCTACAGCTGATGAAGTGGTGACGCTCTAGGAACAGTTTAGAATGATGTTACTATGTTCTTAGTATTGTGTTTCCTTCCTTTGCTGCACTTTGTACTTCATCCTCACATAAGTGAAGAGCAATTTCCTGTTCACTAGTCTTAGTAACTGACTGGTACCTCAGAGAATAAATTTCTTCTTTTTAAGTTCCCAGCAGAGGAGGAATACTGTTCCATGTCAGGTGCCAGAGTTCTCACATGCTGTAATCTACGTGAAGCAATACAGCCCACAGTAGGTTTTTCTGCTTAGATGCTTAGGAACTTCCATTTTTGTTCTCATATGAATTCTTCCCACCCCTTCTCCTTCTCTTCCCACACACAAACTGAAAATGAAAAACAGAAGATCGGTTTTGACAGATGCTTTACTGCAAGTTATATGTATTTATTAAGCTCTATTCTGTCTAATTTATACAAACAGAGAGGTCTGGAAAATTATTGTTTATTAGATGGCATTTCTGGGCACACTTGTAAGGAAGATTATCTAGTGAAAATCTTCCTATTACATACACACATTAATGAAATTTGGAGTTAATTAAAAGAGTGGGATTCATATTATTAAATCTGGACATCTCCATTACAAGCATAATGTCAAGTCTGTTTTTACAGGCAACAGGAAGAATTAAATGACAAACTGCTAGAATTCAAAGTACTGCATTCTAGGGTAGGCATCTACCTGATAAAGAGATTAATTTAACCCCTGCCAACTTGATGGCTACAAAAAGTGGACATTTTTTGCAGCTTCAGTGTTTATATATGGCAGCATGTCTGATCAAGATGCAGTGTATCAGATCAAAGCTCTAAGTAATCCAAGAGCCTATCTCCAGCTGTGTGAGATGCAGAAACAGGTAATGAAAAAGTGAAAAGCTGCGCCTGAGGCCTCAGACACAGCTGAGCAAATAAGGAAGGAACCGTAACGGGGAGCTGAGGACACCTTTGGCTTCAGAATGATCTCAAGCAGACATGCATGGCACAGGCTGGAGACAACTTAATGGGGGTAATGATGTCAAGAGGAGCTGCGTACCACCAGCACCATGGAAAAGTAGGACTACAAGAAGATTTAGGTCAAAAAAGACTTCTAGATGCCACATAACCCATCCTCTAGATAAAAACTATAATACCTTCAAAATTAGATCATGTGGATGATCAGTTCTATCATTGCATAGTCATCAGGCTGCTGCAGGGGAAACAGGGAAAAGATGAGAGAAATTCACCATCAGCAAACACCTGGACTACACCCATGGGCATATCCACTATAATGACCAGCAGATGCAGGAAAACATGGAGGCATGGGGCAACCATGCAAAAACAGATACAGCTGCACCAGTGCAGCCACCGAACCCAAAGGGGAACTCTGAAAAAGGCTTGAGCCCCTCAGTAGTGGCAAGGAGAAAAATTCACAGCCATATGTGGTACTTCGAGTTTTGCAAACAGAAGATAAGATCCTGCTCCCCTTCAACACCTCTTCCAAAACTGCAAAGCAGTAGCCAGTGGCAGATGCCAGGGCAAGTATTGGAACAAGCTGCAAATACAGTGATCCTTTCTGAGATGAGACCTGGGCATCTGTGTATGAAACATGATTGTTCATATGTACCATAAATAAATCTTGGATTGAAATCAAGATTAGCCAATTCTAAGAGATATGGATGCTTGTATTCTTTATGATTGTGAGACCTCAGAAGCAAAACAACTGTGAGAAGACCATATAGAACACACTGAGAGTGGTATCTAGTTTTGTTAAAAGTTAGCCTTGTAATTTATTTCTGCTGTTACCTTGGATCATTGATGTATAAATATGTTTAAATCAGACTAAGTATAGTATTCATTGTCTGTATAGAGTATCCATCTTCTAATTTATTCCCAGAAAACAAGTCACTCAGAAACAAGTAATTTTTATTACATAAAGTTTATGACAATATCAGCATAAGCTTAGAGGGGTATTTAGTCAGGGATATTATAAATAGGAAGAAGAAGTCTATGTAAAAATGTAACAATATCTTATCCTGTATTTTTATATCCTGTATATTTCCTTTAGATTTGTTCTTTAGATTTTGAAATTGAAACTGTGGATAGGATGACTAAGAATATGAATTCTATGAATTTGGTTTCAGTATTGAAAAATTTCAGAAAATGAAATAAAAAGTTAATTTTTTGTCTTAAAAATTTCAGTCTGAGGCTGTTAGCTGAAAAAATAACCATATATTGAATATAATTAAACCTCCTTTTTTTTCATGAAATAAGAAGAGAAAAAAAATTATTGAAGTTCAGGAAGATTAAGAGTCTGAATTTCAGCACTTTCTTTGTAAGCATTCTGTCACTAATAAAAATTGAAAATTATTTTGATAAAAGGTCTACCTTGTTTCAGAGATTATCTGGAAGAGTCACAGTTCTCTCAGAAGATAACTACTGATGAGTAATATGATGTTCCCTGAGTTCTTTTAAGACAATTCTTTATATTCATCTACTTTTATTTGGGACATTAAAATATGAATACCATAAACAGTAAAATAAATGGTTTTCTTTTCATAAGGGAGAATGTGATAAGATTCTTACATTGTTAATTTTATCCTTTTCATTAGTGTAATTTTTTACAGATACACATAGCATGACAAAATGAATGGAGATTTAAGAACTATAGCATATTCAGCATTTTAGTGTTTAATGAAATTCTGCAAGTAGTGCTAGCCTATTGCAGAATAAATAGACAATTTGAGTACATTGGCTTGACTATGTAAGGATGTTCAATGCCTGTTTATAACATGGAGTTCAATCATCTCACAGAGATTTATCAAAACATCAGTGTTCAGGAGCTGGAAAAACTTGGCACTTTCCAGAATCAAATGTGTTCTTTATGTCTCAACCTAAAAGGTACAAGTTTAGTTAAAAAATTCTATGTTTCAGTCACACTAAACTTGTTTCAGAAAGAAACAGCATGTGTGATCACATTTCATTATTTAAAACCCTAAAGAATAACATTTGGCAACTTTCAACTAGATGGCATTAAGGCAAGTGTGTATATGAATGCAGCAGAGAGGCACTTATGAGCATATTGATGGAAAGGTATGGGGAGAATGATAGGCAAGCATCATGCCTTGCTATTCCTTGTAACCATGAAACAGCATGACAGTCAGACAAAAAAAAAAAAAAAAAAAAAAAAAAAAAAGTTTAAAAATACTTCTGTGCTCCCAGGTAGAAAGATACATAGATATGTAGAAAGATATATAGATATACAGAAAAATACAGGCTATGGTTCTTCTACAAAGAAAAAATGAAAGAAAACAAAGTACCAAACCCAAACCAAGAAGCCCTGTGCATGATGGAATCCATCATGCACAGAGCTTCTTGGTTTGGGTTTGGTGTTTTGGTTTGGGAAGGCATCAGTATGCTTTTCTGTCTGGAGTCTTGAAAGTCTAATAACTGTCAAGCAATTCCGCTTTCCCTGAATAAAGGTATTAACAGAGATACCATCTACACTGCAGATGTCTGTTTTTATGCAATTTGTAGGAGTTTAGTAACTTTCAGACTTGCCAATGGGCTTAAAATTAAGCAGGCTGTAGAAATACAGAAAGGGAGAAAACACAAGCACAGCAGGAACACTTAAGCCTTCAAGCTAAAAACGAAAATCGTGTAAAGCAAGTGGGTATTATGGAAGATGACATTTTGTCAGGTTATTTAAAGTGTAAACACTGTTACGAGCTGTGCCTGGTACCACAGAGGATGACAACTGAAATCACAAGGCACTCCAGAATTCTTCCCCGATATTTTTCTCATGGAGGCATGGGCTGACATAAGTTTTAGCTGTGTGGGAGGCCAACCTATTCAGCAGAAATATGGTTTCCTGAACATGCCAGTTTCCACCCTCTGTCAACCACTAAGCTAAATTTATCAGGAGCAGTGTGGTCAGAACTACAGAACTCTAGAGCTGACCAGAGGGAAATTTGGTCAGATATAACTATCAAGGTAAATAATGAAAATATTAAAAAAAAATAAGTGTATATACTGGTGTGCCACAGAGATAGATCACATGCTGAGCCAATATTCAAATCTATGATTCATGACCATTTTTGATTTAGTTTGATATGTTTCCAATTTTATAAAGGCTTTTCTTTTGCTTCTGCATCTTGGAACACTAAAAGAGTCAGTTAAAATCCCTTTCTAATGCAAAATTATGGAAATATTTAAGTCATAATTTCTCAAATAATGGACATAAAATTATTCTTCCCAAGCATAAAGAATCTGGATTGGTTCAAACATTTTATTAACATACTGGAATTTGAACTGTACGAATGTAAAATGAATTAATAGTTATAATTATCAATCTCTTTCTGCACCAACAGAAATGACAGAAGACTATATATAATTATGGTTTACTTATGTATGGATTCCATTTTTAATATAAATTTACTTTCTAAATGTAATTGTTTTAATAAGAGTTATTCTGTGATGAGTTATTAATTCATACTGCAAATACTACAGTATCATGACACACTTCCAGATCTTTCAAGAAATCCTTAGGTAAAGAGTTATGATCACTTCAATGTGTTTAAGTTTTCAAGGAGCTACATAATTTCTCCATGTCTTCTGCTGCTACACCATAGAGAGGATTTGGAAAAGAAGTAGCATTCCCATTTTCATTAAATGGATACTAAAAGAAAAAAGATAGAATGAAATTTAAAATCCAAGTGATTCAATTATTTTTTAAAAATGCACATATAAATGGCTATAGATTCATTATGGAAGTAGCATTTGAAAGAAAACTATGAAATCTTGGAACATTTTTAGACCAGACTTTCAGCTGAATAAAGTTAGCATAGCTCCACCGAAACAATTACCTACCACATGCATTTGATCAAGTCATTTAACCTACTTCTGTATCTGTTTCCACCTTTTTCCCCCTTGTCTCCAGCACTAAACATATGCTCCAGTATATGTTTAGTATTATTTTAGGCAATCTGTGTACAATAGTATAATTGCAGTGGGTCACTAATTTTGGTACATGACATTGTAATTTCCTTTTATTCAAGGAAATGTTTATAATTTCCTTGATTAAAAATTGTATGAGGAAATAGATAATATGAACCCTTCAGGTAAGGATTTCAGTAATTCTAAACATTTTCTTCAGCATCTGCCCAGACTGAAACTTATTGAATTAGCTTTTGATGTAACAAGTAGATATGAAGAGCTAGAATCGTAACAAGTAGATATGAACATTACTAGAATTGTTATTATGAGGTCCTTGCCAACCAATTCAGCCCTGGTCATCTTTCTCAGATTTCCAGAGGTGCTAACAGTATAAGGAGCAGTACACCATTGACTTTAAGTGAGATTTTTCCCTTTCCTCTGCAAATGACTTTCCATTACTAGTCCAACACACATCCTAGAAATATATTATTACATACCTCATGCCATGGAGAAACACTGATTTGAACAGCAGATGAGATGGCATACCTAGGAGACTATAAAAAGAAAAAAAAAAAAACGCTTCAGAATATTTTTAGTGAGCTGAAAATAATATACTCTGCCATGTGGTGCCTGGGTAACACACTCTATGGAACCAAACTTATGAGGCAGTATTACGAGCCAGAGAAGAGCTATGCTAAGCCCACATGATTTTAGTGTTCAGGAAGGTTCAGGAGAACTGTTCTTTATGAAGCTCAGAGACTCCCACAAGGGCAAACTTGTGAGTATTCAGCTGGAGACAAGAGCTTTTGCTCACATTTTGTCATCTCTTTTGATTGATGATACACCATTCAGATTTAAGTCTCAGCCGACTTGAAGAAAACTCATAATGCCTGTTTTCTTTTAAAATGAAGAATTAGTGTAAACATGTATTTTCCCAGTCTTAGAGAAAATAGAGGAAGTTCTGGTACATGGCTGGACTTCAATCACAATGCCTGGGGCTGTCTTCCATGAAAATGTCTCTCCTGACTGTGTGCTTCTGTTTTTCAACTTGCTATTAAATGAAATCTGTCAGGAATCTATTTTAACTAAAATAATAATGTCCTGATGAATTGGACATGATTGTGATGGGAATATTTCCAACTTGGAGCTCTCACAAACTCCAACCTATAAGTGAATTCATTTGATCTTATGTCTCTAAATTCAGGTATAAGGACCTTTTTACAGAAAGTAAATGGCATGTCATAGTTAATCTTATTCAAAGCTACCGTGGAATCTTATATTATTGACTGCGCAGAGGACAAGGAAGTTTTATTTTCTATTTCAAATCATGCTAGCTCTTTCAATGCTAATAAGGGTAGAATCAAAATGAGGGCAGGAAGGATATTTAAAATATTTTTTTGCTTTTTTTCTTTTTACTCCAAGGTTCTTTGTCTATATTATTTTTAATTATAAACAAAATATCAGAAATAACTTCATTTTAATGAAATAGTTTATTTATTGTTAAATTTAAGAGATTAATTTTAGCTATCATTCTAATTTGATAATTAAATCTTGCCTTCAAATCTTTTGCTGCAATATGTTCACTTTTATATACATATTTTATTCAAAAATTTCATTGTTATTCTATCAGTCTCTTAATTTTGATCAGCAAATAGTACTAGGGAAATGTGTGGCCAATTGCTTGTTTAGTGTCAAGGTGAAGTTTACAGTGATGGGAATTGTGATGTACATTTAAGATACTGGGGAGGACTAAAAACTTTTTTATTCAAGTTAAGTGAGTGTGCAAAGGCAACTTGGTTGCCAAATCATGCATTTTGTATTTTTATTGTTGTTGACGTGTTTATTTTACAGATAACAAAAGGAGATGAGTCCCAGCGAGTTTATTCTTATCTCTATGTGGGTAAATAATTAATCCAAACCACTTTTTTTTCCTCCAAATCATCAGCCTATAGTAATGATAATTATAAACACTGAGATGTTGTCAAAACTGAGCTGATTTCAGCCATTACTGTATTTTGAAAATGCACTGGAACTGATCTGAATATTGAGTCAATTTTCAATTCTCACTTCTTTTATTAAAAAAACATTCACTCAGGGATTGCATTCTTTTAATGGAAAACTATTTGAGGACTACCTCACATTTTTCTGAACATATAGAGGCAGCTTACCTTTACTTTTCCAGATGAACTAAGGTCTTTGTACAATGGATTGGCAAATGAAGAAATAGCAGTTTCTTGCACTTTCCTTGGGAAGTCAAACCAAGAAAAAAAAAAAGGAACAAAAACCATCATATCATAAAGGTCATCAAAGAACCAAACAGATTAAAGTTCAAAAGAATTGAGTCCAAAAAAATAGGTGGCTAAATATATTTACAATTGAGCTCTACTGAAATTAATGAAATTAAACCAATATTCTGGATAAATAATCTCTAGGGTAAAATATTATTTTTTCATCTGTTTCTTCTAAAAATATATATGCTTCTGGATGTGCATAGAAATATTTAGTATATATAAAATGCAGATATAATGCTATACATTAAATAAAACATGAGATTACCTTAAAAGCTGCATTCCTATAATTTCTTTGCATGCAATGAGATCATATTCTTCCTATGTTTTGCTATCACACTGACAATTCAGTGATTAACATAGTCTTAGGCTCCAAGTTCAAGAGCACTGTAGTTATTTAATTATTATAAGTACTCCACTTTTCCAATTAACTGGGAAAGAACTTGCATTTTGGGTCAAAATCATCAGCATCAGTTTTAAAGCTATACAAGCTACCCATACCTTTTGCTAGAAAGCCAAGAATATTCACTTGAGGTATTGAAGTGCAAATTTTTCTTTAATTAACATAATGCCTTAAACAATTTATTAGGTTATTACGACAAATTTGCTATTTATGGATCTCATGTCCATTACCTCATCTGGAAGTTTAAAGATATGCTTTCTTGATAGAGGTCTTCCCATGTCCCATTTCTTTCTGAAAGCACTTATGACCTGTGCAGTTAATTGTATTTATTCTGCAAAAGCAGAATGGGTGTGGAACATGCTGCCTAGATCTAAATTTTTTTCCCATATAGATGACTAGTTTTTAATATTCCATGTTGCTTGAAATCACAGAATCATGGACTCATTTATGTTGGAAGAGAACTCTAAGATTGCTGAGTCCAACGTTTGACTGATCACCACCTTGTCAGCTGGACTAAGTGCCATGTCCAGCCTCTTCCACCTCCAGGTTTGGTGACTCCACCTCCTTTGGCACTCTGTTCCAATGCTCAGCAACCCTTTCAGTGAAGGAATTCTTCCTGATATCCAGCCTGAAGTTCCCTAGCACAACTTGAGGCCATGTCCTCTTGTCCTGTCACTTGTTCCTCAGAGAAGGGACTCATCCCCACCTGACCACAACCTCCTCCATCAGGTAGTTGTAGAGAGCAGTAAGGTCTCCCCCAACCCTCCTTTTCTCTTTTCAGGCAAAACACTTCCTGCTCCCTCAGTTGCTCCTCATAGGAGCAACCTAATCTCTAGACTCTTCACCAGCTTTGTTGCTCTGGACTCTCTCCAGCACCTCAATGTCTTTGTTGTAGTGAGAGGGCCACAATCATCAAAGCTGTGAAAATACTACATAAATAGCAAGAGAGGTATTAGTTAAAATTACTGAAGAATGAAGCAGAAGCTAATCTTTGCTTCTGAAGTGATGCATTTGGTTGTTTTGGCTTTCATCCGCAGTTTGTGCGGATAGAAATCTGCATGTACAGCATTCTAAGACAAAAAAATTCTCTAAAGCTTCCCATCAATCTTGATGATGGAGAAATAAATTTTGTTGTATTAAAAAGTGTGTCTGTTCCAAAGCTGCACCTACAGGTTGTTGAAGCCGTGTCTCCCTAGAATCTGCTAGACAGGGTCTCTGTTACTGGGGTAGGCAGAATAGAGGGGACAAGAGCAGTCACAGAAGCACATCCCACAGAGATGTTGGGAAGGGAAGCTGTTCCCCAGTGGGAGCCACAGAGGAGACACTTGAATGATTTCTGTTGCAAATAGCTAAAACCAGAATGGCTGCTTGGGAGGAAGACACAAGTAAGGCACAGAAATATTCTACCTAATGAATTAAATCAGTGCAAGAAACTAAGTTGGGATTTTAGACTAAAGCAGACATGTCTTCATGAAATTTTTCACAACAAGACTGTCAGAAACTAATTGCTTCGAATGCCAGTCTCATAATTTATTTTGATTACCTGACACAACAATGGGGAGAGCTGAATATTTGAACCTCATAATTTTTTCATTTGATCGAATATTAACTGTAATAAATCATGATATTCTGATTAATTTAGTTTGCTTAGTGAAGCAATGACAGATTATTTATATGCTTACTGAGTGTATATTTGCATCCCAGTCCTCCTGAATGAAGTCCAGAAAATGTGTACAAAATTTATTTTGTAAAGCAGTGCTCAAAAAATCTAAGGCCAGAAGCAAACTCAGATGAGAAGATTTTAAGGAGTTTGGCTCGTCTTCTAAACTAGTGCCCAAAGGGCCAGACTTGCATGCCTTAATTTTGGTGCCTCATTTAGACATCACAAACCAACTGTATGGCCTAAAAGCATGATACAGAATTAAACAAACCAGCTCTCCTTAGAGTCAGTCAAAAGCCTTCCAATGGGCAACACAAGTCACACAATTCTCAGTGTGAACCACCCTTACTGTGCCAGTAGCAAACAGTAAGGACAGGGATTGGTCTGATTCTCTTTCATCACTCCACTGAACTTGACCAGCATGTGCAAGACATATGCACGGCTTATTTGGGCAAGAACACGCTGAGTACTGAGGTCTGTCCTGAGGGCAGGAGGGTGCTGAACACAGATCTCCAGCTTCCTCTGCAAGGAGGAGAACTAACCAGAAGGATGCTGGGCCAAAATGTGGGTGCCAAACAGAGTGCTGGCCAAGTTCTTCAAATGTTTTTGGTTGCTGTGTTTAGTGCGGAAATCTGTCTTGTCTATGTCTTAAGCAATAAAATTGAGCCCAGCAGATTTCAGGTGTCCTCCCACTCTAGATCTGAATCATGAAAAGCATGTGTATTGGCAACCAAATCTTAGGGATAATGGGAATTTTATGGCCCAAAACATGGGCATTGATTGAATTTATGCACCAGAAATGTAGATGGAAAATGAACTTTCTCAATTTCTCTTCTGTTCTTATGAACATTTTCGTCAAAATTCAAAAGTCACCTTGAATATACTACGTTATGTAACTTATGCTACACATACATATACCATATATAAACACGTAGATGCGTACATATGAATATGTTGATACAAATTTATATATGGTTAGCCCTGTTTGTGAATGCAGCAAGCAATTCTTTCTAAGGGATACCAATAGATAGCCTTAAAATTTCTAAAATATTTTCAAATTACTTAAAAGGCCTTTAAGAATTTGTAAGAGAAAATTTAACCACATGTTTACACAAGTGCTGTAATGTTTCAATTGGATGAGATAGTAACTGCAGAAATAAAGTTAAAAAATTTTAAAATAGTATAAAATACTCAAATATGTGTGTAAGATAGTTTAGAGAGAACTGGGTTTTCTAATATAACCAGAAATACCACAATAGGAATGGAGAGAATTAATCATCTTAGGCTGAAGTAACATTAGGCATAGTTTTGCTAAGCTCATCTGCATTCTTTAGTAGCAAAAACTACTGGCTTGTCTGAGATTTCTCCACTGTAATTTCACAAAGATAGGAAGAAGTTTTATGCTCTACAAAATACCCACCAGTGTACAAACAGACTGCTGAGTAACCTCATTCTTGTTAATGGAAAATTAAAGTATCTAGATTTCTTTTTTTTTTTTTTAATGCAGGAGTACATTTTAATGCAAGAGTAATTTTGTACTTTTCAATATACCTTTAAAAGAAAAAAAATCTTTAATGTAGAACACAGATTCTTAGGAAATACAGTACTGGAGGAATGCCTATTGTCTGATTCATAGCAACAATGACAAAGTTGTAGTCAACCAAAGATTTAATTACAATTAAGCTACTAATTTAAATAATCCCTTAAAATACTTTTTATAGGTGTGCTAAAGCTGCAGTTCTTAACAGAAACTAAAACTCAAGATCTTAATTTCCAAAGCATGTTTAAAATATTTTCAACAAAATTTAGGTTTGCTGAAGTAGGCTATATTTTGCACATCCCATAAAATAAATAGGAGGCATGATGCAAGGATAGAAGACTTTCCAAAAGCTGCATCTAAAATAATGTACAGGTCACTTGGATGTTTGATTCAACTGTTACAATGCTGTATGGGTTTCCTAAGTACCTAAAAGGTACTTTGTACCTTTTGATACACTTTGGGGAAGTAATTTTTCTTTTATTAAATCACTCCTTTGCAACTTTCATGTTTGTGATCTTGAAGGCTACGGACTACAGAGACTGGCTGTGCTTTAGCATTTTTCCTTGTGTTTCTGTGCAGTCGTTCTATGTGTGGTGATCATCAGATGAACATTTCATAAAAACTGAAAACTTCTGACTATAGCACTCATCCTTCAGAACAACAATACTCTACAGAAGAATGAATGGATTTGGATAGCAGCATTAGATTAATACAACAATTCCCAAACAACATTTACGTCTAATGCTTCTAAATTTTGGTTTACTTTTTCCCATAAAAATGAACATTTTTCTCCCATTATAAATGAACTGTATCTGTCTCTGTTCCAGTTCACAAGCTGAAAACGATTCACTAAATGTCATTATATTGTCATTCTGTTTATCTCTCTGGGATATAGGAGCAGAGGGACAGCCAGCAATGACCTCTGGTAGCCCCTCAGATCTCCTGGGAGAGCTTGCCTTGGAATACACCACCCGTTCCTTCACACCAGACCTACACAAGGGTATGGTCTAATTGCAGAAAGCCTGGCAACAGAAACTGGGAATCATCATAATTTTAAGTAAACGTTAACTATGGAGAAAACAAAAGCACTGAGCTTGTTTACCCTGAAGAAAGCAGCCTGTAAGGAGGCATGACAACTGCCTTCAAGAACAGAAAAAGCTTTCTGCAAGGAGGAATGATCTGTTATTGTCCATGGTGAATAGGAATGAACTTAAATGATAAACAGACATATCAGTAGTTGGAAAATAATTTTTTAACAGCAAACTTCTTTCTACCCAAGGTACCAATATAGCCCGAGGATGCCATCAAATTAATGTTGCTAGAGGTTTTTAAATGTGAACTCAGGAGTGATACAGTTGAGTCAGTGATGTGGCAGGATGAAAAATGGCCTCTGTGGGCCCTTTCTTCCCATGATTTTCTATAATTTTAAAATCCTTTCTCATAATACCTCAGTTTTTCCACTCTTGTGCTTGTGTGGCAAGACACATTTTTATAGGCTTTGGAAAATTTAATGTTCTGTGTTCATTAAAATTGACAGGACTGATAATAGCTGTGGTTACATTGGCCTTGCACTGGATGGCACAGTTCAGGAACAGAAAAGAAACAAACTGAGATGATCCAGGGACATTGACTGATTTGGAGGCAATAGTAAAAAGGCATAGCACAGCTGGACAGAAAGTCACTCACTTTTCATACTCTCACATTTCAAATTACAATGAAGCAATAGAAGGCAGCTGCAAAAAAATGTAAGCTAAAATGAATCTTTGCTTCTATTTGGTCAATGAGGACAGATGTCACTGATAGAGTGGAGCAACTTGCAGCCTTCCCTTCTGGATTAGGGAACATCATCTCTATAGTGCAAACAGGAATGATAGAAACTCACAAGCTTCTCTGATTTGGGGTTTCTATACAAAAGTTTCACATATCCCCAGCTGGGGACTGGGAAGCATCTGACATAGCTGAATGTTGTCATGGTAATGAAGTATGCGGCTGCCAAGCCATGTAAAGCTGCTTTTGTCCATTAGGAATTAAACTTACATGATGACTTCCAGTAACTCCCACTCAGTAATAGGAGTGTTTAGAGCCTGCAGATCAGAAATTAAATTCAGAAAATGAGAAGGAGATAGAAAAGGGGAAGCGGGGCATCCATTCTGGGTTGAAAGGAAGGGTTAAGGCACTATTTATTAATGTTTCCAGAGAAGAAGAAGAGGGACAAATGTGACTTAGGTTCCCACTGCTGTTAGTGACAAATTTCTAGCTGGCAATCACCTGAGGTACCCAGCCTACCCCAACTGCCTCCTACCTCATTTTATGATAGAAAAAAATTAGTTCTATTGGACTCTTAAGCTTCTCCAGCTCTTGTGCACATTCCTACACTATTTGTCTTGTGACTTAAATGGACCTACACAACATTTCAAGACATCATGGGAGCAATCACCTACAACTCCTAATGTGCCTCTGGAGAACCATCTGCTAGTGCCTGCATGGGTGGGTCTATATAGTAAAGAAAGGGGACACTAACAAAAATTACATAAAAATATCTATCAAAAGAATTTATCAAAAGGTAGTAAATATGGCCTCAAGCATGTGAAAGCTTCCCTAGAGTGACTCTAGTGCCTAATGACTTTAAGAAAATGACATTGCTCAGGTGGCTAAAAGCAGACACACATTAAAAATAACTATGGGAAAGTGTCATTTATGTGCCAGTAAAATCCTCTCATTCATCAAATCCCTTAAAAAAAAAAAAAAAAACCAAACAAAAACAGGAGTAAAATTTCACGCCTCTGTGTGGTGCTGTCACATTGTACATTTTACAGACTTATGCAAACACAAGTCACTTCCTATTATAAAGCCTTATCCTAAAGATCCAAACTTCAGTACGTTAACATTGGCTGCATTTTGACTAGTCACTTCTGATTACTGATTAAGCAGTTCAGGAATAACTTGCCTTCATTTACTACTATGTTTCCAGTTGTGATTTTTGTATACCAAATCATGGTAGGCACTAGGTAGTTGTAGAGGAAGAGCTTGGATGAACTGATCTTCTCAAATTCAAAGTTTCTGATTTCATTGTTTTCACAATTTCAAACAAATTGCCATTTATTAGCCAGATTATTTCTTAGCAAGGTGCCTATAAAACATTTTAACTTATATGTTAAGTTGACTGTGATTAAAAACAAGGAAAATGAAAAATTTTATTTGCAGTGTGGGCAAAATGATTTGACAATCTCAGTTTCTAGTAGACAAAATTTGTAGTCCCAAAAATTTCCATCATCATAACTCACCTTGCTGGAAGCTTTAATGAAAACAATCAAGATCAGAATAAGCTTTGTTTTGGAAACTTGTCTAATCCTCTTTTTCACAGCTCTGATTCTCTGCATATCAGAGCTGTGGTATACTCTTAGAGCCATACTAAGAAGATCCTCATTAACCCCTGTTTCATACCTAATAGAACCATAGCATCACATTGCAACAGGGTACAAAAAAGACTACTTTTTTTTTTTTTAGCATAAGTAATTGCAAGAAAAGAAAAAAATATTCCTTAAATATAGATTTATGGGTAAAAGAGATGCGAATGGCTGTGCAGTAAACTTTGACTAGACATTTATGAAAGAAAAATGTAGAGGGAGCGTTGAGTGAGAGCACAGAAAAAGTATTGTAAGGAACAACAATATTTTTTAAATTGAACTATTTTTTTCAAGGATAACTATAGAAATCACAAAAAAAAAAAAAAAAAAGCAGCAGCTCTTCCAATACAAGTAATTTTGCACTTCTGAAGTGCTTTTCTATATGTGTGCCTTGGCAGGTTGTACTAATGTGAATTAAGTAAATCTTAAAGCCCCATGAAATCAGATAAGGAAATGTTATTCCTGCCTTAAAGAAGAGGAAGAAGATATAAGGGAAGCAGGTGAAGCTATGCACTCAATTAACAGAAGCATAACCAATAAAGGTTTCTGCATCAACATTTTGTTCTGTGTCCATAGACAGCTCTACCTGTCAGGGGAGCATGCAGAGATAGGAGACATGTCAGCAGCAATAATGTCAGGACAGGAGTCTGCACAGTTTAGTAGATACTTTGGGAGATAACAACGTCCCCAAAGAGAGGAAAGTCTCTAGCAGAGAACAAGTTTAAAGGAAAAGAGACAGCTTTGAAATGAATTCTGGAGAAGTAAATGAAGGGCGAGGAAAATCTAACAACACAAAAATGGACACGGAAATGTGCAACAGGAATTGCTGAAAGGGAGGAAGGGACAGTGCTAGGTACTTGCTGGCAGAGAAGGATCTAACAGTTGAGAGATAAGCAGAGAAGCAATACAGAGGTTAGAATAAAATAAACAGTTGGGGAGGAGAGAAAAAGCAGAGATTATTGAAGGAGAGAAGAACCAGAGATTATTAGAGGAATGACAAGAAGGGCTTGTAAATATATCTGTGAAATACTGAATTGTCAGTTGAAGGCATATTCTAAAACGCTCTAAATTTTATAATTTAAGAATACTCATATAATGTCACAATCAAAAAATTCTAGGCAAGCAAGCCATTGCTCATTGTTTGCAGACTGGGGTCCACTAAGGTCAGCTTTTGTTGCAAAGTTACATTTTCTGCTTAGTGTTTCATATGAAGACAGACAGACAGTGGGGAGATTCAAAAGCTGAAACCAATGAGCCTGGGCAGTTGGCCATTGCTCTGTGCCACATTTGTGTCTGCTATATGCAAAATAAAAGTTTTACTTACATTTCTGGCACTTTCTTCTTCAAAAGAAAATACAAGGCAGCAGCTGTAATTTTAATCAGTAAGAAACCGATACCCAATCCAATCCAAATATCTGCAAAATCAAAGCAATCAAAGACAGAAATAAGTAAAATGAAAGACTCAAAGAACTAATGGAAAGATATTATTTCTTTTTACAGACCTACCATTTTGTAGGCGATTTGGAGGCTGAAGAGGCTTAGCACTTATGTGGCAACGGTTTCCTTTCCATCCTTTTCCACATCTGTGAATAAAACAAGACTTTTTGAAGAAGGGAGGAGAAAGGATCATAAACAGTGATGAGCGCAAAGGAAATACCAAAGTTTTGAGCACTTTTGCCAATGACTAAAGCTTATCCAGGAATCACAAAGAGCAGTATCAAAGTTAATGTAATGGAATCTAAGTGAGAAATACACAAAGTAAAGTAAGAAGATAGAAAAAATAAAACTAAGTTCAAATATTCAAATTAGTTTCCTTTTCCATCATATTGTTCTCTCACAGCAAAGGAAATTTGATTAATTTCCATGTATCTCCCATGTGAGGTTTAAATACATTTCTGAGTTGAGGGACCCTAATATAGAGAAAGAGACACATTTAGAATATAAGAAAAATATTTTTCTCTGCTTACCTAGTTTGCCTCTCTTGTATTTCTTTTCTATTTTTTCTTTTTTAATGATACCTCTCCAACAAATACCTTGTCAAACCAAAGCTACACTTGACTGCAGCCATGTAAAATTATTCCAGAATTTCTGTTTGGTAAAAATTCAGTCTTGATTTGAAGTGACCAAAATATAAAATATCTGACACAAGCTTTGATGATTTTTTGCTTAATGATTAATCAAATTCAACAAAAAGGTCTATATCATTTATCATTTTAATTTGCCTCAATTAAACTTTTGTCTACTTCCTTTTATTGTGGTTTTCTGTCTCCATCAGAATGAAGAGACCCTGGACTGACCTAGGGGAGGGTCAGCTGCCTTTGATGAGACACATGCAATTTGGGGAATCTCAAAATGGCTACAGCATAAGAGGTTGTTAGAGGGAGGGACACATACTGACATCTTCATTTCAGGCACCCCACATGGTGTTTGAACCCCATCCTGAGTGTATTGATGGAATTACTTCTACCAGCTTTCCAATTATATGCATGGATGGTGATATATGAGCTTCATAAATTTCAAACTTTTTTAGAATGGAGTATCAGAAAGAAGTGATGGTAGCAGTCCAGTTTCAGTCCTACTAATGTCAAATGCATGGAAAATTAATTTCACTTATGATTTCTTTCTTTACAGTTTCATAAACTATTCATGTGGGCTGGAATGCATATTGAGATGTTTTCTAACTCTAACATCGCATTTTTTTCCATAGTCACCACTTTTTAAGATGTAATTTTGAAATTGTAATTTCTTCTTCTTAAATATATAGTATGAAACATTACATATACACAATTAAATCTTTATATTAATGTTCTTTAATTTTGAACATGTGAGAGAGGACTTCATGCTATTTGCCATAGTTTAGCACAAGGTATTGCCCACATGCCTTACCCTAGCAGCTGCACACTGAGTTAACCAGGCATTTCAGAGGGACAGGAGTACTTCATTTTCCCCGGAAATGACTAAAGAGTGCTAGATGTAGGAAGAGGAAGGGTGGGGTGACAGGAGCAGCAAGAATCTGTAGCTGCAATGATAATTAGAATCCTAAAAGAATCACGGCATGTCAGAAACCTGATTGATATCCCAGTTTAAGACACAACAAGAAGGTGATTTCACCAAAGACCCAAAGTGACTGATGCACAATTTATTGCAATTCAGTCTATGATTAAAAAATTCTGGGCAGAGACTGTGCCTGAAGGGAAGTACCAGTTCTACTTGAATACAGTGGGCAAAGAGAGATTTCATTTAACCCATTTACACCACAGATGGGTTTTCTGTGGTTAAAGGGTTACCTTATTCAAGGTTACTAATTGATATACAAATGAATCCTAGCTTTAGAAATTATAGCCGGTGGCATATTCTGACATGCTAACACTAAAGAAAAAAATGATATAATTTCAGCTGACAGTTCTGGCTGAGTTGGAGAACCGTTGTATTTAGTGACTGAAAATACCTGGCCTCTTCAATCCTTCTTCTTTAGTGTACTACAAAAAATCATGTTATTCATAAGCTCCTCTTTTATGCAGACTGATGATCTTATGAAAAGTGTCAAATTGCACCTGGGTTGACACCAAGCTCTGTGGATCCATGTAGAAACATTACAATCTGCTGGTAATCACCCAATGAAAGAATTTTCTGATTGCTTTCAATTGTATAATTTCTTTTCTCCCTGTTTGCCAGATACTCTGTTGAACTAGATATGCTTTTAACCAAAATTGGCCTCTTTCTTGTCACTGCTGAACTTACTTGGCTGTAAAAGAGAGAATAAGAAAACAGATTTGCAGCTGTGCACAAGCACTACTCAGAGTGGCAAGAAGAGATGCCATTTGCTGGTTTGGAGGCACCAGGACATAACTCATCTCAGAGTTGCAAAGAGGTAGTTCTCATAAAGCAGGTGTGTGTACTGGTAGGACTGTAGGAAAATTCTACTACACAGAAATATCTAAATTTATCTTCATGTGCTGTGTTTCCCTTTATTGATGGAATATTTCCACATATTCGTGCAATGTTTGAATTGTGGGTAAAAAAGTTAAGCATCTTTAAGATTATCTTCCTATACACACAGGTTTTATGATCAACTACTAACTCCCTTGGCTTGGCCATTCATTCCTCTTTAAATTTCTGAATGCTACATGACACCATTAGGAATCTGATGTCAGACTATCAAGGTGTAATTTTGGCCAGTGAAATGATTTTCCACTGTGTCCATCTAGGTTGTTGCCATAAGTGCCATTGACATTGGCTGGGGAAAAAAAAAAGTGTAAAAATGGATACAGGTAGAGAAAAAATAATATCTCTGGAACTTGGTAATTTATAAGGACAAATTCAAAATCAAACAGATGGGGAAAATGTAAGGCATGAACCATAGGGACTACTTTATAGGGAGAGGGAGGAGTGAAGGCAAAAAAGATGAAGATAGTAAAAACAATGTAGCTAATCCTCAAAGACCAGGATGGAAAAGGAGTGCTAAACAACAAAAAAAAATTGAAGTGTGAGTATATAAGTTGGTTAAGTGCTCCCACATGTATCTTCACACATTAATTTGTTTGTTATTTTTTTAAGTGTGATAGGGAATCTTAGCCATTGTCTCTGCCACTGTGGTAAAACATAAGACTATCATAAAAATCTGGGTTATAATTTAGAGATTCATTCAACCCTTTATAAGATTTTTTTTCATTACTAATAAATTCCATCTTCTCATGTTAAAAAAAAAGACAAGAGAAAGTAAGAGTTACAGCTAGTTTAGAAGCCTGCAACTTTCAATGAGGCTCCAAGAAAAACTTGGGAAAATTGCTCATTAATATCCTTGGCTCTCAGCTGATATAAACATCGCCTCTGGCTTTTAATGGAGCCAAGCTTTTCTGTTCCCAGAATAGAGGGAAACTTGTCTTAAGTATTCAAAACAATCTTGTTTCATAGATATCTTGCAAGATTTTGTTCCTTTTATATCTATCATCTCTAGAAACTCTAGCTGACCACAGTGTTAGCTGTGGTGGAGAAATCACTCTGTAACTTGAGAGGAAAGGGTAGAATGAGATTTCTGTCACCAATATCTGCCAATAACTTTGATTAGAGGAGAAGATAACAATTCTAGACCATGAAGGTAAACAAAATGTAAATAGTTTTTACCAAGTGACTCCAGCTATTTCACTACACTAGAAAGCTGAGGGGTACTTTCAAAACAAACAAATATTTTAGGCATGGTCTTCTATAGGACAGTTGGAGGTTTTGCTAAGAAATGCAGAATGAAAATCTTTCACAGATTTGAAAATTCTATACCACTATATGTTATTTTATATTTAACAAATTCCAGAAACTATTGCAGACAAAAAACAACCAATCAAACTAGTTGGTTAAAAGCTATGCAAAACTTACATGACAAAATGTAGAACCTATCATCCTTAAGAAATGAGATACATGTGCCCATTTCTCTGAGTCTGACTCTCCATGGCCTTCTGCCTGTGCAGTCCTTTGCAGCTGTGTTGTGTGAGAATTGAAATGATGCTCTTCTCATCTAGTGACATTTCCTGTAGGCTTCACACTCTATCCAATGCGTGAAGTACTAGACAGTTGATAAAAAACTGGAAGAGTCCCTCTTTTAATTGAGGAATAAAATAAAAGTATTAGGGGGAAAAGGTGGCAAGGACAATCATGGTATTAGTTTACAGTGATTTTGAGCAGATGGATGAGGTTTCCCTAGGTGTTTGTACTGAGGGCACAGAATAAATAATCCTATGCTTTTGCAATCACAAAAAATTAGTCTCAACCCTCAGACTTCTTCATTTGACTGTTACTGCAAAACTGTATCCGTGAATAACAGTAATAATACCAGGCATCTTTATAGGAAATCCAGTCAAACTTCACATTACTAGTGTGCAATCCTGGAGACAATCAATCCTGAAGTGAACTTTGATTAATCTAGCAGCACCAGTGAGAGCAGCCTTTGCATGCACCCAAGAGATGACTCCCTTGAAGTCCTGATAATGAAGAACACTCTTAACTACCCATCCACTGCTGAGCATGGACTGTACTTCTGGGAGGCTGGTGAGTTGCTTCTTCAAAGTCACAATTACTTTTCTCTCTGATGAGAGCAGCCAAGATATGCCAATGCTGTTGTGGTGTAAGGACCTTAAGGATTACAGATCAACCATGTCTTCTGGGCTATGTGTTAAATCTTCATTAACAGGGTAATGGGAATTTTGAAGAGCTGCCTTAATAATCCTCTTCTGCTATTTTAAAGACGGACAATTCTGAAAGGACTGAATTTATCTCTTGAGCCATGGAGCTGAAATTCCACATTATTTATGTACAATTAATTTCCTTAGACTAATGACATCTTGTCTAATTAGCAGCACCACATTTTGTACAAGTCTTAAGCTTATCTGAAATACAGATATAGCCATTTCAATCCTTTTGGACAGGAAACTCCTCCTAGTTGAAACAGGAGGAGCAACAGAGAAAAATAGATTAAATAGCACTTGAATACTTCCATCCCAGTGCACACCCTACTCTATTGTGCCTGACAAAACGTCTTCTGCTATTAGTAAGTTCTTACAGAAGAGTCACCCTGGAAGGGAGAGTATTAACC